GGGGCCTGTAGTCCCAGCTACTTGGAAGGCTGAGGCTGGGGAATAGCATGAACCCAGGAGGCGGAGCTTGCAGTGAGCTGAGATCTCACCACTGTGCTCCAGCCTGGGCGACAGAGCAAGACTCCGTCTCAAAAAAAAAAAAACCAAAACAAAACATCACACTGATAAATCATATTATTATTTCATGTTATGATGATAAGTACCAGAAAAAAACAGCTAGGCCGAGCAAGGTGGCTCACACCTGTAATGCCAGCACTTTGGGAGGCTGAGAAGAGAGGATTACTTGAGCCCAGGAGTTTGAAATCAGCCTAGTCAACATGACCCCCATCTCTACAAACAAACGAAATCTCCAGTCTCCTCAGAGGATGCCTCAAGGACCTTTCTTATGGACTTCTGGGAGCTGTACTGTGCTGTCCCTCTTCCCCAGCAACCTTCGTAAGTGGCAGTTGTGCCAGCCTTTAGCATGTCATAGGTTTTAGGAACAGGGGAATGGCCTCCAACAAAATCATTTTCAACCAAGTGCAGGTTGTAGACATACTCAGGAACACGCTGGTTCGGTGAAGATTTCCGTTGACCACGGATCTGCGGCCCTTCCTGGAGAGGATCTGCTGCACCTGCTCCTGGATTCGCAGGCTCTTGACTGGCTGCTACGGCCGCTGCTCCCTGCCAGCTTCAGCTTGGCCTTGGAGGGCAGCGCCAGGCTGGAGTTGTCCAGTTGTCCCAGGATCTGCTGGCCCAGGATGGTCCAGATGTAGCCGTACTCAGCTGGGGTGCCGGGGGCTGCCATGGGGCCGGTGGGAAAGACCGAGCGCTCGCTTGCCTCAGGACTCACGGGCGAAGCCACCGTGGAGCTGGGGGCACTCCAGATAGGAATCTTTAAAAGTACAGAAGGCCTGGTGTGGTGGCTCATGCATGTAATCCCAACACTTGGGAGGCCGAGGCAGGCAGCTCACGAGGTCAAGAGATCGAGACCTTCCTGGCCAACATGGTGAAACCCTATCTCTACTAAAAATACAAAAATTAGCCAGATGTGGTGGCGGGCGCCTGTAGTCTCAGCTACTCGGGAGGCTGAGGCAGGAGAACCAATTGAACCCGGAGGCGGAGGTTGCAGTAAGCCCCGAAATGGTACCACTGCACTCCAGCCTGGCGACAGAGTGAGACTCCATCTCAAAAAACAAACAAAACTTAGTATGGAGTAGAAAAAAAACAGACTAACATTTAAAACAATATTTATGTAATTAAAAATATATGAACAGAAACAATGCACAGGTGGGGAACGGTGGCTCATGCCTGTAATCCCACCACTTTGGGAGGCTGAGGTGGGTGGATCACCAGAGGTCGGGAGTTCAAGACCAGCCTGGTGAACATGGTGAAACCCTGTCTCTAACAAAAATACAAAAATTAGCTGGGCTGGTGGCAGCACCTGTAATCCCAGCTACTCGGGAGACGGATGTTGCAGTGAGCCAAGATTGTGCCACCTCACTCCAACTTGGGCGACAGAGCAAGACCCTGTCTCAAAAAAAAAAAAAAAAAAAAGCAAGCAAGCATGTTTGCCAAACACAAAATGATCAATATCAAATGATTTAGAACATTCTCTATGGCGAGAGAGTGGAATGGGGAAAAAGGGAATATACAAAGGAAACAAGGCAGGATCCTTCCATGGCTAAGTGAAAATGCACGTCAGGAATCAAAGAGTATAATTAACTCCATCTTTTGCACCTGAGGTCTCCTAGAAAAACAATGTTCTGTTTTTTTGTCCTTAGGGACATTCATACTCTAAGAAACACTCATATAAGAAACCACTCCTGCTGGGCGCGGTGACTCACGCCTGTAATCCCAGCACTTTGGGAGGCCGAGGTGGGCGGATCACTTGAGGTCAGGTGTTCAAGACCAGCCTGTCTCTACTAAAAATACAAAAATTAGCCCGGTGTGGTGGTGCATGCCTCTAATCCCAGCTACTCGAGAGGCTGAGACAGGAGAATTGCTTGAACTTGGGAGGCGGAGGTTGCAGTGAGCCAAGATTGCACCACTGCACTCCAACCTGGGCAACAGAGTGAGACTCCATCTCAAATAAATAAATAAGTAAATAAATAAATAAACAAAGAAAGTGCTACAAATTGGGTGGCTTAAACAACAGAAATTTATTGTCTCATAGTTCCAGAGTTAGAAGTCTGGAAATCAAGGTTTCAGCAGGGTGGGTACCTTCTGAGGGCTGTGAGGGAGGATCTGTTCCATGCCTTCTCCTAGTTTGATCTCTACCTTCAAGTTGTCATGGCGTTCTTCTGTGTGTGTGTCTGTCTCCAAATTCCCCCCCACCCCCGCTTTTTTTTTTTGAGGTGGAGTCTCGCTTTTGCTGCCCAGGCTGGAGTGCAGTGGCACAATCTCAGCTCACTGCAACCTCCACCTCCTGGGTTCAAGCAATTCTCCTGCCTCAGCCTCCT